ATAGTAGAATCTACCCAAGAAGAAACTCCTATTTAATGCCTATAAGCATCAAACAGAATAGAAGCTTCTTTTTTCAGATTGACCCAATCTGAATTGGTTTGTTTAGGACTGTAAGAGTCTAAGTTATTCTCCCAAACTAGAGCCAAATGTTGCTATGTTTCTCATTCCACCTTGCCATCACAGCTGTGCTCAACTTTTCTTCCTTGATTGTCTTTTTGGTTCTCTAATTAGGGATTGTCTCTCTGATTCAATCTCCATCCATGCTGCTTAAAACTTTCAATGGTGCTTAGATATTAGTTCTAGAGAAGTCACACTATTATGGTGATGCATAATCAGTCACATGCAAAGGGATGAAAGATCCAAGTCACAGCTCATGTCTCACTGGCCAGAAATCATTTTCAATTCACCGTGCTATTTTCTCCCAACAACAAAAGGCATTTTGGTTCTTTCACCCCACTCCTTTTTGGATAAAAAAAAAGTTTGATCCTTCAATTGAATTTGGTCCTTGAAGATAATTTCCCTTTCAACCAGGTCTTTTTAACCAATTCTCCCATTTATATTTTACTTTTATTTAGAATACATCCGACACATCGTTGGGGAATACCTTAGGCAGTTTGGCCAAAAAAAAAAAAGAATACCTTAGGTAATTAAAGAAAAATACACGCCACCGGCCCCCACACACGTAAAGTTGTGAGCGTTTTGTTGCAGTGTTCCTAATAATAAATCAATTATAGTGTTTATCGTTCAAGAATAGCATGACAAAGTATGACTTACTGAGATTCGTATAAAACACACAAATGAGTGATATAAATTGAAAATACTTGAATTTGATCAAATATTGAGTAGATCACATAATTCTATTAAAAAATTATTTGATCACTTTAATAAATATATTTATATAAAAAATTAATTTAAATGTAAGTTTATTCTATAATCTATGATTTAATTTAATTTTGGTGCATTTATTATAGTTAGGTACTTTTATTATGGAGATTCTATTTGGAGATGTGAACATACGGTCCCCAATCTATTCCATGTGGTGCTATCAGCTATGGTCAAACTGAAGCTGTAGGAGCCAGCCATGACATGAGCCATGCGTTTGCCTACGTTTTGGCGTTTTTTTCCCCCTTTGAAAAAAATAGAAGAGCAGTAATTTTATCTTCATGGGGCGTACCCAAATTGTTTTTTTGGGCCGGGGGGGGGAGGGGAGAGAGATGCAAGATTCTAATTTTCAATTATTAATTTCAAGATTTGACCTTTCTTATATTTGGAATAGCAATGTACTATTTTGGTAAGTATAGTTTTGTGTTTTATATTAATTAATTATAATTATAAATATAACTAAATCTATTCCAAGCACTGTTATGAACAGGATATTTACGGTAAACTATAAAAAGATAAAGCATATAAAAATTTTGGTCTAAATTTTTGCCCAATTTATATAGCAAAGACATTTTATCATACTAATAGGGTTGATTTTAATAGAAGACATTATGATCACTTCAACATGAGATTTCGAGTTTGAGTTGAATTCAGAAAATGTTAGAGACCTGTTCCCAATTGGGCATGATATTATTAGAATCTGACCTAATTAGATAATATATATATATATATATATATAAAGACATTTTATTATTGTAGCAGCAAACGCACTTTATAGCCAAAGGGAGTAAAACATTGACATTTTAAATTGCAGCAAAGACAATGCATCAATTTATTGTAGAAGTGAGTCCCTCTCATATCCATGTGATGCATGTCGATCTAGAAGAATAATAATAATTAAATAATTCATTATGAATATTAATTAATTTTTTAAATATGGTCAAAGATTAAAAAAGACATATTTCTACTAATAATTATATTAAAATAAATATCGGAAAAAAATCTAGTAACTTGTTCATTTAATTCAAATAAATTTTAAGATTTACATATTATTTTTAAATTTACTAGAATTTGTAAAATAACAATAAATGATAATTGAAAAATACACAAAAAATTAACAAGTCCAGATTTTATTAATATTTTATTTACCGATTTTTAACTTAGGAACTTTTTTTTTGGGGGTAAAATAACATAGGAACCTTTTTGGAAGAATTGCTTGGTTCCTATAAGAATATCTTTTAAATTTGTCCCCAACATTTGTCATGTTTTTTCAAATGCCCTTTGTTGCTTTAATTTTTTCCTGCATCAATTAAATGGAGAAAGATTAAGAAGAAAAAACAATAATTTCATGAACTTCGATGATAAAAAAATGGTATAAAATATTTGTTAAAATTTGGATAGATTTAAAAACATACCCGACTGTAACAATTTCTTAAATAGGTATGAAGTCTCAAATAGAAGGTGATATGTATATATATATATATATATATATGAGAAAATACAATAATAGATCCTTGTACTTAATTTGATCGTGTTTTGCTTTTAATTTTTCTTGTTCTGGGTCTTTTTAGTTTTATTTGTCTGTAAAGTTAGTCTCTATAGATTTAAAAATAAGCATAAGGAACATGAGCTAACACTGATTGAGTTAATTTTGCTTACATGTACTTAATTCCGTTACTCTCTTTACTAATGTGCACTTCATCTTGCTTTTATCTCCTACATTTTGTTTAAGCCAAATATGAAAAAGCTATTTGTTTTCCTATTTACCTATACTTTTAATTTTAATCATACATGGTCAATTTATTTTCATGTCATCAACATACTTTTACCATATTAGCAAATGGGTTACCCAAGTTATAGTAAAATTATCTTTGTCAGTGCCAGCTCATAGTCTTTATGTTTTATGTGCATTTTTTAAGATTATAGAAACTAATGTTATAGATTGATAAAACTAAAATGACTAAAAATAATGAAATAAAACTATAGCCACTATAAATAAAATACAATCAAAGTATGAACTACTATTGTGTTTTCTCTATTTATTTTAGAGGAATGAGGGAGTAGGAGCCAGGGTGAGGCCTATAGCTAGGAATATGAGCCGAGTTACATGGATTGGCCGGAATAACTGGTCTATAGGTTGGGAAAAAATTAATTCAAATAAAAATAAGTTTTTTTTTTAGCTTGGACCAGATAATCCATGAATGATATGGGCTAACCTTGATAGGTTAGGATCAACCCGTTTAACCCATATTAGTTTTTAAAAAGTATAAAAAAATAAATAAAAATGGGGAGATATTGTATATTCATGGCTATTGATAAATAAATGGGCATGATTTCGCTAGCTTAATTCATATATTTTGTACAAATATTATGGATTAACATTTAGGTGCATTTGGAATGAATCATGGCAAAAAGGAATATCATATTGATACTCACCATTATTTTCATTTAAGTGTATTTTTAAAAATTTATTGAAAATAAATTAAAAAATAAAATAATATGGGTTGACAAGTTAGCCCATTTTACCTACTAACTCTTAAAGGTTAGGTTAAGTTGAAATTTTTCTAACCTATATAAAATTGAATTAGACTCAACTCAACCTATATTTTTCTTAACCCATATGGGCCAACCTATATGGTTTGAATTGGCCTATATTCCCAATTAAATGGGAGCAAACAAAAGTTTAAATAAAAATAACAAAAAATAAAAAATAAAAAATCAACAACAAACATTGCTTTAGTTGATAAGAATTTAATCCATATATAATCTTGCTAATGATGTGAGAAATTTGTTGGTTGGCAAGATCTATAAGTACATATATAAATAATCATTGAGTTTGAAGACATGCCCTAGCTTTGGTAAGCTATCGAAATTAAATTCACCCAATTTTTTTATAAAAAATAATAATAAAAATAAATTAAATATAAAACTGATAAAATTGTACGAGGATTTAATTAAATTACTTATCCAATAATTTTTTGGGTCTCAAGCATAATACACTTTTCTAAAACTTTGATAAATATATTAATATTGTTTTACAAGCCAAATATGTTAAATCGTGCTTTAAGGTAAATAATATGACCTATAATTTAAAAATATAACTAATTGGATGTCTCCAGTTTTTGATCGTATTTTAAATAAACGATAAAAAATTATCTCAGTAAAAATATTAAGAAAAAGTAAATGAAAGGTGATAGAGTTCCACTGAAAAAATGTAACAAATACATAATGTCAAGAGGTAACGAAAAAAAAATATTTTTGTAAAAATAAAATATAAAAAACTTAAAATTAAAATAAATGTTACCACTAAAAATATGAACATTAATTGAAGAAATTAAATAAATTTTTCACAAAAAATAACAATTCATAATGGTAAAGTAATAATAAATCAAAATAAATAATTGTATTGTTTTTACCTTTTAGATTCCAAAATCTCAATCCTCCTCCCAATCAGATCACTATCGGTAAATTTTGCTCCTCCCAACATCCTAGCCATAATCTTTACTCTCTCTCTCTCTCACCCTCTCGGAAGCAACTGCAACCCCTGCTCCAAGAAAACACTTCTTCTTCCCCTCCCAGTGTCAGAGTAGTGATCAGATCTCTCTGTCATGCTATCAACTTCATCTTCCTCTTATGCTTCTTTTTCTTCCTCTTCTCTTGGAGTACGTGGGGGTGGGGTGAATAATTCTAGGATTAGGATTCGATGACCGTACTTAATACAAACAACACTGAGTGCCTTTGCCATCTAAGCTATTGAAATTTAAATCAATAGTTCAGATTAAACTCATCTCTCGTGTAGAGTATAAATTTAGAATTATTAATCTAGATTTCAATATCTTAAATAATACAGACACTCGGTGTTTATATTAAGTACAATTACTAAATCTAAACTCATAATTGATGCAATTGTTAATAAAAACATTTCCACGTCTGCATGGAGTTGAAATCCCCATTAATTTACTCAGTGAGAACATGCCCTTCTATAAATACCCATACTTGCCACACCATCCTCCCACACTATCAGCTTAACAATGTCTTCGGAGGAATGTTACTATTTTTACTGTGAGAAATGTACCAATCAATACGTTGTGTGGCTACGCTCTCCTCCTTCACCGGCAATGTGTTATAACTGTACCCATCCTATGCAAATTACTGTGATAGATGGAGAGAAGTTCTTTCGAGAGCATCCGTATGTGACTGATCGCCCTCAAGACCTTCCTCTATCTCTCAACGCATTGGGTTTTCTTGATTCTCTCCCTTCGGCAGAGCTTTCTGAGGAGCATTATGAATGCCCTATATGCCAAGAAATCTTAGAAGCAGAAGGTGACGTGAAAATGGCCCCATGTGGGCACACTTTTCATCGGATTTGCCTTGGTCGAGCCGTGGATCATACAAATGGGACTTGCCCAATATGCCGTCGCCATTTTCTGTCAGATGAAAATAATGTAAGCTGCGTTTCTCTCCCTTTTCTGTATTTTTTTTATTTTTTTATTTTTTTTATTGTTTATATAAGAATTGATCATGCAGTTTCTGTTTCAGCAGGAGAATTCTGAAGGCACAAATGCTCCTGGTGGGAGCGAGGAGAATGTTCAGCCTGATGTTAGTTTGCTTTTTTCCCCCCTGCTTTCTACTTTTTGTGAATATAATAGGTGGAATTGATATAATGGTTTGGATTGGCTGCAGGAAAATGACAGTGAAGATAACGATGGAAATGAGGAGACCGATTCTGAAGAGAATGATGGTGGAAATTAAGTAATGGTGGTGGATCTCTAGCTTGTGGTGTATTTTTGTTGATAGTTAATTTAAAGTTTGTGTCTTCTTAGGCTAATATTCTACTTCTGTAAAACTTAGCTAGGAACTTGGGGACCAGAGTTGTCTATTAGGTTTGGTTTGTCATGTTTGTAATCTGTAAACCTGCTTGTATGTGTTTACTTTAACTTTGTTAAATGAAATCTCCGTAGCTAAAATTAGGAAAATGTTAGCTTGCGTGTTTTCTCTTTGGAAAGAAGCGATTGCGGTAAAAATAAAAAATAAAAAAACAAGAAAATAATGTAAACTCCATTTAATAAATAAACATGAAAATAATGTATTTATCATAAATCTACATAAATTTTCAGAATTTTTCCCAGCGTTTCTCAGAATGTTCGAAGGCTTGGGTAACTTGACCATACGACACTCTGACTAGGGAAGAGAATAATTATTATGAACAGGTGAAATATATGTGTACTTGACCATTTTTATTCTTAAAATGCTTATTTATATTTCTATGAAATATGTAAAAGATGTTAAACTTTTTAAATATCAAATATCATTTATTAAAATTATATATATATAAACATATAATATATACACGCGCACGTGCACGTATATTTATATATAAATATGTTTCATATATATTTAAAATTATATTTTCAATTAAAATACATTTTATATCATAATTAAAATGTTCTTTTGCTGAAACATGGCAAGTATGCTAGTTTGAGGGAGATATTTTTTACTGTTGGCAGAACTTACCCCCTTATGCATATTAAAAAACTATAGCCGATAAATCATTTGATAGAAACTTATATAGATATATGTGAAAAAGGATGGTTGGGGAAAAATATAAAGAAAATTACATCCAAATCTTACACAATATATTGAAATACCATAAGATCCATTGAAAGCTTAACAAAAGAAAATGATAACATATTTAGTTGTTATTTTTCTTTGCTCAGTTGTCAATAAACTTTATATTAATTATTTAATTGTACCATGTAGGACCTCAAGGTAATTCTCCCAAAAATATAACTAATGGGTACAAAAGAGGAACGACATGAGAAACATGGGAATGAGATGTTGATGATATTTTGGAAAGGGAAAATTCATTAAGGACCCTCAGACCAAACATGATAAAAAAGAAGACTCTGAAATATGTGATATATCACTGCAAGCCTTGGTTCCTCATCTGATATTAATTTGGAAAGTAAAATAACAAAGTTGCCCTATGGAGAGAAAAAAGAAAGCTAAAAACTTGCAGTTGAAGTGAAGAAGCACAGGAATGCTCTATTTCTCTCATTCTCCCTTTCTCGTCTTCTCCAACATCATGAGTTGGTAAGTTAACTAATGATTTTGTTCTTTAATCTCTAAGAAAGTATGATTGATTTTTTGTATAGTTGATTTGGGGTTGGGAACACAAGTCTGCAAGATCGGTTAACACTTATCTTCCCTTCCTTTGACCTGTCTTCTATCCCCCCATCTATTTTGCAACTTGTTTTGTGTTTGGAAATAAACAAGATTAAATATGATTGGGTGGTATGGCTTCATTATTAAGAACTATTCGTAATGTTCATAAATGCTCGGCTTTATTACATTAAATGATAGGTGCTTGGAATATTGCAAATGTATATTCTATTTAAGCTATCATAGCAAAGTTTTTTGCTCAGCAGAAGTTTCATTCCTTTTATAATGTTGATGTAAATATGCTTATTGTACTTGTTTACATTTCCAATTATAAAGTGCTCCTAAGTAATTAAATTTGAATGTTGACATATGTAGAGTCTCATCATAAATGGCTACTTGTTTAGAGCAGCAACTGTGTTGTATCTTCCATGTAAATGAGGGATTTAGAAGTGTGGATGGAAATTTTATTTATAAGGGTGGTGTTATATTTAGAAGATGCATAACTAAAGGAGTGATGTATGAAGGAGTGAGAAGTATTGTAGCAAATGATCTATGGCTTGAATGTAAGGATTTTTATATGAAATATAAAGTCATCCCAGCTGGAGATACATTATTGTATCTTGTCGATGATATTGGAGTAGATTAAGTAATTAAGGAGAATGACACCAATGGTCATGCGTACGTTGCATAAACATCACTGTTGGAGTTCCAAATAGAATAAGTTGTCAATTTTAACAAACTTTTTAATTTCCCTCTTTTTAGTTGACATACACTATAAATTTCCTTCACACTTATTAATGTAGCATAATGGAGTTGGTAGCACTTGAGGAGGAAAGTTCATTGAATCCTTCCAATTTTGTGACCCCAAGCACTCCTTCTCCCTTTCCCTTACAAAGTGTGTCAATGTGCATTTAGAGCTCGCCAAGATTGTGCAATATAGAAAGCTAAAGTGGATAAAGTTTACCTATACCAATCCTTGAGATGGATGCTTGAAAGTGGAAGGATTTGATTATGTGGGTTGGGCAGACATTCACTCATAGAGATGTATTTAGAGATATGTTGTTCAAATATAGCATAGCTCACAACTTTTCATATGTCTTTGTGAAGAACAATAGGAAGAGAATAACTGTAACGTGTGAGGTAGAGGATTGTCCTTGAAAAGTCTTAGCTAATCGAGTAAGTAAAGAAAATGCATGGCTACATATAACGTTATTGGTGTTGGAACATTTGCATGCTGCATAAGACAATTATCACACCCCAAAAATAGGACATGCTTGGCAAAGAATATAAGGATAATACCCATATCCCAAAAGTGTTTACTTGAGAAAACTTTAACTTTCTAAACCACGAAGACATTTGATAATAAAGTAAGCCATCTTCAATACATACCATACAAACAAAAGATTCAATATTCTTGTAAAAATTTCGATAGAATCTCCCCTTAAAATAAGATCTCTTAAAACAATCTATGAATATTTTACAAAATAATAGTAGTAGCAAGGAACTCTCTTTCCATTAGCAACTAACAAAATATAAATAATAAGGATGAGGACTATAACTATAGCTTATGTGGAGCACTTAGAATATAACTTACAAAAATACAATTTCATAGTTAAAGTTTTACATCAAGAGAAAATTTAGATCCATAGCTCCTTTACTTTTGGTCAGTAATAAACCCATCGGTGGTCAATGTAATGTCCACCTTAACATTACCAAAATTCACCACACAATCACAACAAATAGTCATAATTAGGAGCAAGGATTGCTCCTAAGTTCACATTATAGATATAAGGATTAAAACTAATAATCTTTTAAAAATAATTGTTAAATATTTGGAATCCCATAAAAACCCTTCAAATTTGTAGTTTGAGCTCAAACTTAATGATTTATAAAGGTATTGGAAGCATGAAAAAGTTTTGGGAAGCAAAACACTTCAAAATAGGGCCAAAAATGTCATTTTTGAATATTTTGGTCTATGTGCCGTGGCTCATGGTCCATATATCATGGCATGTGATATAGAAAGGCAAGTTTGCTCGCTGTATCGTGCGTCGTGGCGCACGTGTCTATGACAACAATGCTGTTATGATAACTTTTATGGAAGAAATTCGAATGCACCATTTTCGCATCCGATGTCCGATTAAAATGATTCAAACGCCCACACGAAGCTTATTCAATAAGCTAACTAATGGTACAAGCTTCGTTATGATCTAACACCATATAAGAATTTTAGATGCTTAAATGTAAAAGTTAGTTTTTAAAGCAACTTTCAAGCATCTAAATACCCAAAATTCAAAACTTATACCATTAGCCCCTTTTGAGGCTTGAACCAAGTCCAATGGATCAAAATATACCTAATTGAGCATTCAAACACACCAAAACATACCAAACACAAAATTTGGCCACTTAGTGCCAATTTCGCCTAAAATAGCCTGAATACAAAATCAACACTACATGCACTATTTGTCCTCTATTGCCACATAATACACTATATATACATTGTCACCACATAGATAAAATATTCCTTGTACTTGTATTAGTATTTTAGCCCATTACCATAAAAAAGTGTCACATATTCACATCGTATACAACATTAGGCTAAAATACAAAATAACATAGTATGAAACAAGTGCAACCAATCAAAATGATATGCATTCTTAATTGGCAACATATAATATCATCTATATAAATTTATATACATGACTCAAAATAAAATCAAGCTTTACAATGAGAATGTAGCAATTATGCTAGCCCTTATTTGATTCCCTCCCTTACTTAGTCTCAATGGTAGAACTTGTAAAATGATAACCATGGGGTGAGATAAAAATCTCAGTAATTAAGATAATCTACATTATTGATTAATATGCCAAGTTATAAACAAGCCTTAAATCAAGTAAAATAAACACACCATATAAAATCATCACAAGTTACATGTATGACCCTAACCATCCAGTCCTCCAATACTCTTGACCAAACTGGTAGACTATTTCACAGAACTAAATTACATGTATGGTCCCCAAGCTCACCATTCATAGTAGGACTACCTGGCCAAAGTGTTTTAAACTACTTCTGGACTTCTGGTTCCCCTTATTACAAGTAATTAGGATGTTGTTACTCCAACATCGTATCCTACAAATGCTAAGGAGCATATTCTCTAACTCCACACCTTTTTAGGTATTAAGGAGAGTAAATCTCCAACACCACACCCATTTTCAAGCACTGAAGAGAGTAAGTACTGTACTTAGCGTCTCGAGGTGTCAGCAATGCCATATGGATTTAATTTTCACTAACTCTATTAGGGTGACCTCCTACCCTCTAATATGCCACATTTTATTACATATCTCTACTTGACCATGCATAAAATACTTTTTAAACCAATATAATGAATATTACTACTTACTTCAAAAACTTGACATTTTACAAATCAATACTCCACTCATTTTTTAAAATAGTTAACTTTTATAAAATTCATACATATATGCATAGCAAATCATGCAAGAATAACTTGAGAATAACTTACACAAGGTAATAAATAATGTAAATTATCTAGTTATCTCAACCCTTTTATTACTAAAAGGGTTACCCATGGTACCAAATCTCTTCTTATATCAAGGCAAATCTTCCCACACCATAATCTACATCAACAAGTACTATATGTTAATTTTTAATTAACACAAGCACTATTACCTAACAATAACATTCTAATTCTCCTACTTCTCACTCATATTCTCAATAAAGAGGCTTGTTAAGATTACAATTTATTCACACAATCCCTTCAAGCCTCCCTCTAACTCTATCACATCATAACACTTAATAT